CGGTTGAGTGAAAGTAGGAAACTATCTAAACTGTCCATACCATGAGTCCAGATGACAAAAATGTCATCCATGTATCTAACCCACAATTTGAGGGTTAGTATTGCCTCACGCAGGAAGTGGTCCTCCAGTCTTTCCATGTACTTGTTCGCCAAGATGGGAGTCAGGCACGATCCCATAGCTAGTAGTGTGTTTGTCGTATAACTAACCACCAAAGGTAAAATATGTGGTACTCATGGATAGGTTAATAATTCGAATAATAGAAGCTACACTCAACCTTATTCCTTGTGTTATCTCTGGATGCTCCTCCAGAGTTTGTATCAGAGCTTGAATAATTCCTTTAAAAGGAACGTTTGTGTACATTGACACAATATCAAAACTTACTAGCCTATCCTCTTCTGTAAGTGTCTGCTGCTCAATCAATTTCACAAAATCATACGCATTTTTAACTGAATATAACTGATAATTGGCAGAGTTTCTAAGTTGTATGCTTAAAAACCGTCAGATTTAATGCATCACGCTTCCGTTATTATTTACAATTAATCTTAGAAGGACCCTCTCCTTGTGAACCTTGGGGAGACCGTAAGCCGTTGGGGCCCTCGCATCTCTCCGGAGTAGTAGATTCATTTTGCACTTCTCCATTTTAACATTCCTAACGCATACCCTAATGAAATCCTTCAGCCTAGTCTTAAGTCTTTCTTTCAATAAAGGCATATACGTAGCAGTACCATTTAAATGAACTTGGTTTTTTTTACATAACTTGACTTACCCATGAATACCACTGCACAACTTTTGTCGGCTTCCATTACGATTAGGTTACTACCACACATATATCTAGAAACCTTACTAAGATGACAATCTTTCTTTGGCGGCATTATTTGATGAAAATGAAGGATCACCTCCAGTTCAATACTATACTTTACCTCTTCGGGCAATCTTAATATGAAATGAAAGTCCCTTCAATAAAGAATTACAGACAGTCGTAATGTATGATTCCTTGCTCCGAAGCTGTCTGTCATGACAAAACAGACGAAAGTATGGCACGCTTGGATCGAGGTGGCGGGGCGATGGGCCAAAGACTTCTTCGCACAATCCAGCATCCTTCGTACCTTTGATTTCCGATGAAGCCAATTTACAACTACCTTGCCACCAACGTTTCCTTCGAAGCGAAAAGTCGAGTCCAACCGAGATCACAGCCAATTTAAGTTTTGGACGAGTGGATCCATGCAAAATAAACTACAGACCTTTTGTGAAAATTACCTGTCGTTCTGTAAGCCTCAGATCATGAGAAATTTCAATCCTTCGTGGTCGAGTCAGATATCGGTTGGTTTGGAACTCTTTCTCGAGCTCAAGTGTCTGCTGTCGAGTATAGATTTGACGTCCACGTCTGGCGTCTATTTGACAGCAGGCCTCTTCTTCTAAAGGCAGAAAAGCAAAAATGTGTCTCAAGCAATGCATCTATGCAGTTTGTTATTCCACAAAAGATGGTCACATTAATAGAATCTGGTTTATTTTACTCAACCTGTGCTAACAGAATTAATCAATTTGTCAATCTCATTTAGGCAAACACAAAAGTTTGGCTGATGAGCATTTATAATTTACTGCAAATATCGGCCGGAATCCCACTGGTTTAGTACATTGAAGTCTCCATTTCCTTGTCAAGAACCGGTTCAGACCACAGTCATAGGTTGCAGGTCGTCAAGCCAGACCCACAGGAGATTAAAATTCAATTGACCTTTTCATGGGTCAGCCTTGCCTGGCCTCGTATTCAGGAATTGGCCGGATTCTTAGTCCAGCAGTTTTGGCGAAATGACCCAAAGCAGTGGATAACGTCAATTGAAAGTTTTTAATGAAGGTGGAATGAAGTCGGGTGGAACAGCTATGATCAATTTGTAAATAATTCTGGTTTGATCGACTATATTTTTTTGCAGAACATGCTCGATACCAAGTCAATTTTATTTCAAG